AGATAGTAACTCACTGATGAAGACAATGGTGAATGTATCGCTCAATTTTGTAGAATACTTGATGTTATACATTAACACCACTGGATGCCGGTCAGCCTAGTGGTCTAGAGTCAGGTGTTCGCGTGCAAATTCCGCGATTGGAATCGTGAATGAGCACTGCTAAAGAGTCCCATACTAAAACGAAACTACTGTCCAATACTTTCAGATTTTCTCAAATATTCACATTGTATTTCTACATAGTTTTTTATTATTTGAACTACCAGTAGAATATTATAAACCCTAGTTAATATTAGATATTATAGTCACAATAAATACATCATAATAGCGTGTTTCCACCCATTTTCCCATTCATTCTATCTATTTATATAAGCTTGTGATCTTAACAATAGAAACTGCGTGTGAAATGTTGATTAATAAACATTGAATTCACCAGAAATCTCTAAATTCATAGTTCTTAGGCTTAATTCACTAGAGAGTTAAATTCTAAGAAATTTTTGTTATTTTTCTTTAGTATAAGAGTTTGTATACATTGATGGATGTATTGATGTCCATAAGCAACTACTGAAAGCCAAGAAGTACTCCGCCTGGAGTACTTTTGGGGCTACTACCGATATCAAGCCCAGATAAAGGAGGAGAGTTGAGCATGGGTTTAGCTACCCTACCAAGTAGAAAACTAACTCGCTAAAAAAATGCTAACCAGAAAATATAATTCAAACTTCACAATGATCCTATCCTATTCACAGACGCATCAGCAGTGGTGATCAAACATCATACTTTCAGTTTTAGCGTAATTTCTAGATTCCCAAGCCGGAAATGAATGATTTACAACCATAATTACTTACTTACTTACGCCTGGTACTCCCAATGGAGGAGCATTCTCCAAACCACTCTCTACTGGGCCTTCCTTTCCAGTTATATCTTATTTTTGTTTATTTTTTTCATGTTTTTCTCGATTTGTCGACGTATTGTGTTCTTTGGTCTTCCTATTTTCGTTTGGCCTTGAGGATTTCAAGTGAGGGCTTACCGTGTGACGGAGTTGGCTGCTTTCCTCAATGTGTATCTTATCCACTTCCAACGCTTCTTCCTCTACTGGGATCTGGTTTGTTCTCTTCCATAGTAGGTTGTTGCTGATAGTGTCTAGCCAACGAAACTGAAGTATTTTACGTAGACAGCTATTAATAAACATTCTTATCTTCTGAATGATGGCGTTCGTAGTTCTCCAGGTTTCCGTCCCATACAGTAGAACTGACTTGCCTTTTATATTGAAAACTCTGACTTTGATTTCGGCTGGGAGACTGTTGTTTTGAGTTCCAGTGGTTCTTCAGTTGTAAATATTCTGCTCTTCCTTTACCAATCGGCGCCATGTACAACCATAACTTCTCACTAATCCATGGTATTGTTCAGTCAAATTCTGTCACCTTCAATAAGTTGTCGCTTCATACTCCTGTAGGAGCAAGCTAATTACAGTTGAATTATCACTCAATAGTGACTGATTTCATGGTTGTCTAATCCATAATTCTGTTAAATTTTTCATATAAAGTTTCAATGTAGTCACTACTCTAAGTAAATCAACATTGCGTGCACTATCTTCAAGTCGTAAATGGTTGAAGGTCGTCAAAGTGGTTCCCTGTTACATATCCTTTTTCAAATAATTTGAATTCATCAAGAATACGTGACTGGAATATTATTGGAAACTCAGCCTAGAGCCCCTATGAGGCAAACGCCGATCCCGAGCCCGGATAAAGGAGAAGGATAAGGGCATGGGGTTAGTGACTTCATCCCATGGAAACTCACTCGCTAAAAAAAATCGCTAACCAAAAAACTATGATTTCATATTGAATTCGAACTGTTTTCTATTCACATTCTTAAACGATTGATTGCCTTTATGTTAAATGATTTAAAAGAGATAATAGTGTACCCTGTATATACCTGGATATAAACGTACAGTTAAAGATATTAGTCCTATGATTAGACTTTGAAAAAACCGCTTGAATCCCTAATAATTGTGTTTATATATACAAGAAGAACACCGAGATGAGTTATGTGTGTTTCTATTTGGAAGCTATGACTTGTTACATCAGTTATTCCATATTTATATTAGACATATACAGAAAATGTATGAATGTAAAAATGGTTAATAACTGAATATGATACAAATAATAATGTCAAAAAGGGTTTTTGTGGATATAATACTCATATCAATCATTGAGATCATGAGCCAATTCAAGATAGACAATTATGGAAAATCTGGATGAACTGAACAACTGTTTCGTCAAATTGTAGGAGTCCTCAGCAATGCACATCCAAGATCCCACATTCCAGGTTTATCATGGTAGTCTAGCTTTAATCGGTTCATGATCTCAACTATTGCAACAAATAATGAAACATTCTGTTAATAACAATCATGTTTTAATTTTCTATATCGTGAACTTTGAATTGACTGATTAACACATTTACTGATAATCTTTATAAACAATGATGGATATTGGGTAGTAGTAGTAGAATTGAGGAAGTGCGTTTTGTCTTATGTGGGACTTGTCAACTGGATGTACTTACATTCCAGAATTGATGTTCACTCTGACACTCAAGTCGAGTACCGTTCACTTGAAACGTCGTCATGTTATCCACTTAACTAGTGAGTCACGATAGCCACCTGCATGTGTAATGAAGTGAATTTTAACTTCACTTGGTATTATTTGATTGTATTCTCCCATTGTCATTTAGAACTATATTTGATCAGTCGTTTATTGGCATATATGCATCCTGTGAGCATTGCCTTGATATTGTTTTCATTCACAAGCTTCATAAGCATCGATGCATAGTGGGTAGCAACAGTGGAATAGAGGACTCGCATTTCGTTTGAAGTGGACGGTACTGGGTTGAAGTGTAAGAGTGAATATCGACTGTGAGATGCAGGTAAATCTGGCTGACGAGTCACACATAGCACAAAGTTGTGCGCATGCTAGATTCCACTGCTATCCACTATCCATCTTTGCTTAGAATGCATGTGAATTAAGGTAATATCGAGGTAGTCTGCACAGGATGTATATATGCCAACAATAGACTGATCAATTGCAGTGTTAAACATCAATAGGAAGATTCAATTAAATAATATGAAGTGAATTCCACTTCACTATATTGCAGAAGCAAGTGGCTATCAGGACTCAGTAAGTAAGTGGATAACTTGATAGCACTTGAATTTGATGATATTGGTATTTGAGTTGTTGAATGAACATCAAGTGTGAGATGCAGTTACCTATAGATGATGAGTCCAATTTAGGACGAAATACTCGTCCTGAATTCCATTGCTGGTGACTATCCATCGTTGCCTAGAAATCTTGTGGATAACGCGCTGGCGTTTGGAGCAAACAGTGTTGGGTTCGAGTCCTTTTATGAACATCAACTCTCTGATGAAGGTACATTCAACTGACGAGTCCCAAATAGGACGAAACTCACGTTGTTTACACTACTAGTCGCTATCCATCCTTGTCTAGTCTACTATCAGTTCAACTTGATTAGTTATTCTCTTTCTGAATGATATAAATAGAATATATTGCATAGATAAGAATAATCAATTTTATTTAGGTTAACTTAAATGATTCATATAAACTGTATGGTATAATCTAATAGAAATTCCAAACTATTTTTCTATCTAAAGACTATTTATAACAACATACCAAATATTCACTTCTATAATATTTCTCTAATACAGAAATGATCAGTTATGATGTTCTTGTATTGGTCATAATTATCATTTAATAGAATGTTCATTAAGATTTTAAGTTTTGTACTTTTGTTAGTGTTAACTTATTTTTTACTTATGATTGGCACTATGACCCGATTGATGTTAGACCACTGGTGGAAACTTGAAAGTACTGGACGACCGTTTCGTTCTATTGTGGGACTCCTTAATAGTGCGCATCCCCGATCTCACTTGCGAGATTCCAATCCAGGACCTCCAGTCTCGCGCGCGAACGCCTAACTTACCAGACCACTGATCTGACCGACATCCAATCGTGTTAATGTCTAACATCAAACAATCCACAAAATTGCTCAACCGTCGTCCATTGTCCTGAAGTAGATACCTGTCTCTACCCGACACGGATTAGCTCCACTGATCACGGCTTCTTACTTGAACTCCTAGAATCCCCTCACGAAGCTAGTCACTAGTGAGGACACATGATAATTATCAGTATAGCGGTTGTGGAGACTATTACGTTTTTGATTAAGATCATGAACCAAAACGGCCATCCAGTGCTTCCAGGTTTCTAACTGTGGTCTAACATCATTCCTTTCCTTGATCTCAATCAGAAACTGACTAATCTCCATAACCCCTATAGTGATAATATTTTTTGTTTAGTTTTAATGACTCTTCAGCACTGTACATCCATGATCCTGTACGCGGAATTCAAACACAGCATCTTGGGTCATGCATGCGAACGCTTAATCTCTAGATTACCGAACTTGTCAGCATCCAATAGTGTTAATCTCTAACTTTAATCAATGCATAAAATTACGACACCATCCATCACTATCTTCAATGTGTTACTGTCTTACTATAGAGTTAGCTGAACTTCTACAGTTTTGAGATGGTGGAGATTTGTAGCTCAGGTGGATGATTTTAGATAGAGCTCAGAGAACAAACCTCCATCAAAAAACTGCTACAATCTTCACAAAATTACCGTTTCTGAATATTTTGTTAATTATATCTAAGAATCCCGCCTGAAATCTTCCTAGAATTACTGTTATTCTGAAGTTAGAATGAAGTATATGCGTTTGTTATGTAACTGGTAACTCTATCCTATAAGTGCAGAAAAAATCTATATCTTAAAAACAGCACCGAATTTGAGTGCAAGTTAAAATTATTTACCCTTTAAACTAGTGTTTATCACTTGAATCCATAAAAACCATAGTAGTAGTGAACAATTATTTTATTCCTATACCATTTAGTTAGTTACATCACATCCGGAATTCAGTCAACAATCGGGACTGAGTACTTAATGACTGACGATAAGCTAATTACTGGTAGGTCCATAAGTTTAATCTTATATGTAAATGATTTATGTACAATTCCTAGTTGAGTATTGAGTGGAAACTCATGAATTGTTCATAACTGTAATTAGATAATTATGTGATATTCTTTGATATTAGTTTGAAATCAAAGCCTATTTTCCTGCTAAACTAATCATGTTATCCACTTAGCTACTGAGTCCTGTTAGCCACTTCCTTGTGCAATGGGGTGAGGTTTAAATTCATTTGGTGTTTTCGATTGAGATCTTGAACCGATTGGTGTTAGACCACTGAACAACAGTTTCGTGGGACTCCTCAGCAGTGCACATCTTCGATCCCGGGGCCTTCAGTCTCGCGAACGAACGCCCAACTTACTAGACCGCTGATCTGGTCGGCATCCAATGGTGTTAATATCTAACCTCAACTAATCCACAAAATTGCGTGACCATCATCCATTGTCCTGAAGTAGATACCTGTCTCTACCCGACACGGATTAGCTCCACTGATCACGGCTTCTTACTTGAACTCCTAGAATCCCCTCACGAAGCTAGTTACTAGTGAGCACATAGTAATTATCAGTATGGAGTGATGTAGATTATTATGTCCTTGATTGAGATCATGAACCGATTGATGTTAGACCATCATTGATTATAGTTTCAGTTTTTTATAAGAAGTATACACCTTAAGATCGGTTCCTTCTTTAAGTTTGATAATGTAACTTCGTTAGATCATAAATTAGGAAAATAAGATTATCCAATAAATTTTGGTTATGATTTGACAAATTAATTAACTGATTCTCATTCAGTATGCACTTTGAATAGTTCTTGTTTAGATAGTTTTTTTTTCAAAGATCATTTCAATTGATAAACGATTTCATTCATATGACTTCACTTCATATTTGATTGGGCTAGGATTGATAAAATCAAATAGAAAAACTAACTTAAGATTACATATGACATTCGCGAAGCAATTCTTTCGTATAATGTCTACCTTGGTTATGTTTTGAAAATATTACTTACGCCTGTTCATTCTCGTAGAGGAGTATAGGTGTCCCACCAGTATTCAACATCGAACCCCGTCACGGGCAATCCTTTCCGGCTCTTTCCAGTTATTATTCATCTTTTTTATGTCTGCTTTTATTTCTCGACGTAATGTGTGTACTCTGGCCTTCCTCTTTTTCGTTTTCACTCAAGATTTCAAGTTAGAGCTCATCTGGTGATGTAGTTTAGTGATTTCCTTGATGTATTTCCTATCCACTTCCAAAATCTTTTCCTAATTTCCGCTTCAGCTCGAAGTTGGTTCGTTCTCTTCCACAATGAACTGTTGCTCGTGGTATTCGGTGAACGGACATTAAGTATCTTACGTAGACAATTGTTTAAATATGCTTGTACATTTTTGATAAAAGTTGTGGTATTTCTGCATGTTTCAGCTCCATACAGTAGAACTGTGTTGACAATTGTACTGAAGATTCTCACTTTGATATTGGTTTGCAGACTGCTTTTTGAGTTCCATATATTCTTGGACTGTAGGAATTCCGCCCTTGATTTGCCAATCCTCACTTTCACGTTTGTATCTAGCCCCCCTTATTCATTAATGATACCTCCGAGATACATGAAGGATTCCACATCTTCCAGAGTTTCGCCATCAAGTGTGATTGGGTTGATGTTCTCTGTGTTGTATTTGAGGATGTTGCTTTTTCCTTTGTGTATGTCAAGGCCTACTGATACAGAGGCTACTGTCTGAAACATAAGTAAAATTATTATTATAAAAAAGAGTTTCTTCATAGATCGAGATAAAGGAATGATTACTAGTTAAACAAACATTGTAGACCAAGAAGTATTGAATAGTCAGTTAACTCTCAGTAGTGTGTATCTGTCATTCTACATAGAGTAGAATCCAGAATTTCTAATCCTTCAAAGAGTTAAATTAGAATGTAATGCTTCTTGTCTTTCAGTGATTACCTAACCAAGATAGGGTCATGATGTGAAACTGTGAAAATTCAATAATCTCCAAAAGACCTTAGTAATAATAGCACTATCTGTTTGAATTCCCATATCAAAAGGGATAATTCATGAGTATTGTTATTGTTGGTCAGAGAGAGGTTTTGCGAAGATTGTAGTAAGTTGATAGTTCAATTCACGAGTAAATTGAAACTAGACCATCATAGATAACCTGGAAGTACTGGAAGGCCATTTCATCCAAATACGGGACTACTCAGCAGTGCAAATCTATGATCCCACCTTGCAGGATACGAACATAAGGCCTATCAGTCTCGCTCGCGAGCGCTTAACCACTAGGCCACTGAACCAGCCGGCATCCAACGGTGTTAATGTCTAACTTCAACTAATCCACGAAATTGAGCGACATATCCACCATTGTCATCAGTGTGTCACTATCTCATAACAGACCTGGTTGATCTCCACTGGTCACGGCTTCTCACTAGAACAGCAGGGTATACATCTTGAAGCCAGTCACTAGTGAGCATATGTTTTCATTTATTATTCATTGAGTAGAGGCCAAATATAATCTTCCCCTAATCCGTGATATTTGTCAAACTCTATTTACTAAGAATTAAACTTCCAATCTATACTCAATAGTGAACACAATTGCATATACGTAAATAGGGATAACAAACTGATATAGATCCCTATTGAACAAATAAACTTATTCCAATACACATAGGGATTGATGTTAATGAAAATTTGTTGCGCGGAAGAAGGATTTCACGGTAGTTATATTCATTAAACTGAACTATGCTGAACACATTCAGAAACTTTTAATACACTTACATATAGTAATGACACCATCCCGGAGTGAACATCAACTCTGCGATGCAGGTATATCCAGCTGACGAGTCCCAAATAGGACGAAACGCGAGTCCTGGACTCCACTGCTAGCCATTATCCATCTTTGCTTAAAAACCTTGTGACTTAAGGCAGTATCAAGGCAATCCGCACAGGATGCACAAATGCCAACAAGAGACTGAACAATTGCAGCCCTACGCAATAATGGAAAGGTACAGGTAAACAACACTAAGTGAATTTCAACTTCACTCTATTGCACAAACAAGTGGCTATCAGGACATGGTAGGTAAGTGGATAACTCGATTGCATTTGAAACGAACGGTACTGGGTTCGAGTCTCGGAGTGAACAATAAATCTGCTATACAGGTACATCCAGCGGACGAGTCCCAACTAGGACGAAGTGACTCACGTCCTAGATTTCACTGCTAACCACTATCCATCTAAACTGTATTAATATTTGGCAAATATCCGTAATTTCTATTCTAAACATATCAAAGTACAGTGTAAACCATATATAAACCAATAAAATAGAAAATTATGGCTAAGTAAAATTATCATCTTCTACCTCCACTCCCCCTCCCCTCACACTTCCTCTTTGTTGAATATAACCTCGCTTAGCCCAATTCTAATTTGTTGTCTTTCAAGATAAGACTTATCAGGATCGTCAACAAAACACAACACGATTAATGGCAACACAACCCGATGATATCATATGTAGACAGCTAATCGATAAGGCTTGTATATATATGTATTTATATATATATATAATTTTCACAGTATGGGATCACCATAAACTTCAAGGGTCGAATCGACAGAATATAAAGAATCAAGCAAAAATAAACGAAAGAAAAAAAAAGAAGAAAAAAACGAACAAAGTGAAATTGATAAAATAGAAGAAAAGTCAAATTGTTTATTAACTTTCAAGTGCACTTTATGTTGTCATATGATATTGTAAGCGCACTCATATAACCGTTAGTGTGCATAGAATTGAATAGCGATGTTGGCTTATATAGGTTTAAATGTGCACATGTATATATGACGCTCAATTCATTGATAAAGTGTACGTTCAATCTATTTTCTCTTAAGAAAGAAAGGCGGTGTTTATTTATGATAATGATGATGATGATGATGATGATGATGATGATGATGATGATGATGATGATGATGATGATGATGATGATGATGATGATGATGATGATGATGATGATGATGATGATGATGATGATGATGATGATGATGATGATGATGATGATGATGATGATGATGATGATGATGATGATGATGATGATGATGATGATGATGATGATGATGATGATGATGATGATGATGATGATGATGATGATGATGATGATGATGATGATGATGATGATGATGATGATGATGATGATGATGATGATGATGATGATGATGATGATGATGATGATGATGATGATGATGATGATGATGATGATGATGATGATGATGATGATGATGATGATGATGATGATGATGATGATGATGATGATGATGATGATGATGATGATGATGATGATGATGATGATGATGATGATGATGATGATGATGATGATGATGATGATGATGATGATGATGATGATGATGATGATGATGATGATGATGATGATGATGATGATGATGATGATGATGATGATGATGATGATGATGATGATGATGATGATGATGATGATGATGATGATGATGATGATGATGATGATGATGATGATGATGATGATGATGATGATGATGATGATGATGATGATGATGATGATGATGATGATGATGATGATGATGATGATGATGATGATGATGATGATGATGATGATGATGATGATGATGATGATGATGATGATGATGATGATGATGATGATGATGATGATGATGATGATGATGATGATGATGATGATGATGATGATGATGATGCTTTGGATGATGATGATGATGATGATGATGATGATGATGATGATGCCTCCATTACTGATAAAATCTCGTCCCCAGTAATGACTAGCTTTATAATGTAATTCCTAATGTTTTAATATAAAGTCGTGATCAGGGAAATTCAATTTTGTTGAATGTGAGATAGTTATCCACTATTGATATGTCATTATAATTACATATTTTTGAGAAATAACACAATGTGGACAGCAAGATTTTTCGATACATAACAACGTGCACCAATCCCGTCTTAATTGACGGAGAAGATTTGAAGGATTTAAAAACCTTCACATATTAAGGCAGCATCGTTGATGTACACGATGGATCTGATGCAAATATGAAAGCGTTGGTGTGCAAAGCAAGTGTAGCACATTTACAACTGAAGAACATCTGGAACGCAAAACAACTGTCAACCTACACCATGGTCAGAATTTTCAATACAATTATCAAGACAGTTCTACTGGATGGAGCGGAAACTTGGAGACTTACGAAGGCCATCATCCAGAAGATACAACTGTTTATTAACAGTTGTCTACGCAAAATACTTCGGATCCGTTGGCCGGACACTATTAGCAATAACCTACTATGGGAGACAACAAATCAGATCCCAGCAGAGGAAGGAATCAGGAAGAAGCACTGGAACTAGATAGGACACACATTGAGGAATTCACTCAACTGTGTCACAAAGGATACCATGACTTGTAATTCTCAAGGCCGAAGGAGGAGAGGAAGACCAAAAAACACATTGCGTCGAGGAATGGAGACAGAATGATCAACAATTGAATAGAACTAGAAAGAAAGGTCGAGGAGAGAGTGGAGTTGAGAATGCTGATCGGTTGCCCATTCTCCATTGGGAGTAAAAGGCGTAATTAAGTGACATTGAGAAACAATTGAAATTAAGCATGTCAACCAATGTATGACAGACTAGTTATCTAAAGGTTAGCAAAGAGTGAAAGTCTTGAGTTTGATCCTCAATATATTCATGAATGAAAACTATCACCTAGAAGTTCTATAATAGGATGGAAAAGAAAATTGTCAACTATTCTCATATTTTCAATTGTTTTATGACTGACATTAACCCATGATGCAAAATATATGAAGATTTAACAATCTTCACAAGACATTTATCATGTAATTATCGTGTAGTTCATATTTGCATGGACATTCAACCAGTTTTAGTTAGCATATATGCATCCAGTATGCAAAGTCTTAAGATAGTTCATACAATATAATTGGAATGTGACTAGTAGTGAAGTTCAGAAGTCATATTTTATCTAAATTCTTATTCATTAGTAGAATCCATATAGACTCAGTAACATTATGAATAATGAATTAGTGTTTAAAGCAGAAAGTACCGACTTTGAGTAGCGAGTATTCTACCATTGAACCACCGAAGTTACGAGTGATAGAACAGTGTATGATGCTATTGTTGTTTGCTAGCTTAAAGAGAATTGTATGCTATATGCACGCAAATCCCCCCCCCTTTATTGTTCCTAAATTGATTTCGAGTACCGATAAAAAGAGTAATAACGGAGAGACTATAATTTCTGAATGAGCCAATGAAATCTAAGATAACAGGTCTTGGATTTTAGCGCGAAATTCATCCGTCCCATTAAGCTAAATGTCGTTTTGGCATTCTGGATTATGTCAGTTCATGATGAATAGCCTAAATCTAATTATTAACCTTAACCCCATCAACTGTAAATCATAATCCTTATTCTTCACACTGCTTTATAACCCTCATTTAGTCCTAGTGATTAGATGAACACTCTCAAGATCAGTCTAGCTTCGCTCAATGATCGTCTATAAACGATAATCTCACCAAAGTTGTTTCTTTGACATTTATTTAACTGATCATTTGTTTATTAGTAAAACTTAAAATATCATGTTAAACAGACAATGATTACGTCACTCTATTGTTTATCAAAATAAAAACAATTCATTATATAAGTAATGATGGATAGTGGCTAGCAGTGGAAACCAGGACGCGCGTTTCGCTTTACTTGGGACTTGGATGTACCTGCATCTCAAAGTTGATGTTCACTATGGGACTCGAACCCAGCACCATTCGTATCAAACGCCATCGCGTTATTCACTCAGCTACTGAGTCCTGATAGCCACTCGCTTGTGTAATGGGGTGAATTTGAATTCACTTGGTATTGTTTGGCTTGTATCTTACCATTGAGGTTTAAGACTGTGATTGATCAGTCTGTTATTAGCATTCATCATATTAAAAAGGTCAATGAAAAAATGTGTGTAATATGTGTAATGTTACATTATAAATCAGATTAAAATCACTTCTAATTACGTAATTGCTACAACGAGGCTTCAAATAGATATTCGGCACATAAATCATTCGATTCGTGTGAGGGATATGATACTGATCGGGTGCCCAAATCGAAGAAGATAATTGGCTTAGGAGGCCACACTCGGAGCCATCGACTTAGAAGTCTAATCCACTAGGTAGTGTAGTGGAGGAACGTCAGGAGATGCAGTCACATGGTTGCCTATGACCAATAATTGGTTCATACCCTATTTGTTTCTTCAGGGTTCTATAATCCATGTGTACGATTTGTGTGGAATCAGGGTTTTCCAACTCCCCTACGTGGATTGTTTGTATTCACCCACCCGGTTAAAGCGACGGATATTGGTTTTTTGTCGTCTCAGTTTCTTAAACAACACCGTCAATGAGAGAAAGGTAGCGAATTGGTCATCTGTGGGTATGGTTGTATTGACGTGGCTATGTGAGAGCATTATGAGAAGGATATTTACTTATACTGCGATTCGTATTAAATGGTTTCACATATTTGCTTCTGTATATAATTCCATTGAATCATGAAAACATCATATCGATAGTGGTCATTCCAGTTAACATACATGCACAGAGATAAGTTCATCTATCGACTGTTATCACATATTAATAACAACTCGCATAGTATGTATATAACGTTGTGGTGAGACTATAATTTATGGATGAACCAGTCATATTTAAGATAACACGTCTTAGATTCTAGCACGAAATTCATTCAACCATTCGACTAAATAGACTCTTGGAATTATAACTTATTGTCAGTTGGTGATGAAAACCCTACATCTAATTTCTAACCTTAACCTCATCAACTGTAAATCATAATCCTTATTCTTCAAACTGCTTTATAACCCTCATTTAATCTTAGTTATTAGGTAAACACTTTCAAGATCAGTTTAGCTTCGCTCATAGGTCATTCATCTCCTCAAAGTAACAATGAGATCCAAGTATAATCAGTTAAGAAACTCTTAAACAGAACATTTAGATTACATTCTTCACAATTGATTAATCACTGGGTGGTGATCAATGTCATGCTTCAGCATGATGTACCTGTAATCTTGAGGGAACTGGTGCTACATGATCGATAGCATTCGATTTGCACTAATAAGGACTAGACAATTCATTACTAACATATTACATTAACATTTTATCATACATTACAGTTTTATTGTTTATATATCTATCTATATATATCTATTTTTCAGGTCATTACATAATAGAACTAATGAAATCAATCAGTAACCATCTATTCAATACGGATTACTTAATACTATATCGTTTAATTGTTATTATTCTATATACAATTTCATCACAGATTGGTTATTTCTATTTCTATCCAAATAATAATGAAGGTATTCAACTAATTCAAGTACTTTATCTATTAAAGTTCTTCACATGTATTACAATGGTAATTCATCTTTACAGTAATAATAATAATAATAATAATCATACTGTTTTCTTCTGTATAGACTTTAAATGCAATCTACTTTATAACTTCAATACCATTACAATACTTTAATCTTGATCATATTCGTGGTTATCAATTCTTGGTTGTATTCTCATTTAATTCGGTAAGACTTTATCAATATATATGTGTGTGGAGGTGTATTGGTGTATGTGAGTTTGTGTAGTTCATTTAATAATAGTCATTATCAATAATTGAAATCATGAGTCAATTGAAGCTAGACCACTATGGAAAATCTGAAAACATTGGACGTCCGTTTCTTCCTAGTATGGAACTCCCTAGCGATGCGTATCCACGATCCCGCTCCTCGCGAGATTCGAACACAGGACCTATTGGTCTCGCGCGCGAGCGTTTAACCATCAGATCACTGAGCCGGCATCCAACGGTGTTAATCTCTAACCTCAACCAATCCACGATGCTGCGCCACCGTCCTCCATTGTCTTCAGTGAGCTGACATTTCACAACAGACCTGGTTGTACTCCACTGTTAACGGCTTCTCACTAGAACTCCAGGAAATGCCTCTTGAAGTCAGTCAATAGTAAGCAGATGTTTATTATCAGAAGGGGTTTTGTGAGGACTTTACAAATTTTAATAGATGAAATCATGAGTCATTTGAAGCCAAACCATGATGGAAAATCAGGAAGCACTAGACAGCCGTTTCGTCCCAGTATGGGACTCCTCAGTATTGCAATAATCATTATTATTAATGACTTTATTCAATATTATATTTCGAGCACAATATAAAATTCTCAGCACAAGGTATTTCAACAACTTTCTTTTACAAAAAAAACAAAAAAGAAGAAAAGAAAAAAGTGAAAAAACGATCCGTACAACTTTTCAAATTAGGGACATACTTAAGAATACAGGTTATTGACTAGGTTAACTTTAACAACTTGTTCGTCACAGTGTATATTTGCTAAGTAAGGTATGATAGAACTTTTATACTTTTGTTTGCATGCATAGGTTTTAATAGATTTACATCTCATTCTACCAGAAGATATACAAAGTGGAAGATAAGTGTGAAGGGGATGGTTTATATCTGATAACATAACACTTGCCAAGAATCTGTGAGGCTTTAAATATATATCCACAATCATATTAATTATGACGTTGAAAGATTTACCATGCACCTTGCTAACTGCCTTCATCATTTTCTGTAATACAACAAAGTCTTTTCTCAAATGCTCATGAAAGAATTGAAAATAGCTCACAATGTTAATTAGTTTAAATGGTTTGAATTATTTTTTCTGGTTAGCGTTTTTTTTAGCGAGTTAGTTTTCTACGGGATCGGGTCGCTAACCCTATGCCCAACGCTCCTCCTTTACCCGGGCTCGGGACCGGCAGTTACTCTAGAAGAGCTACAGGCAGAAGCAGTCTCTGCATCAGTAGGCCTCAATATACACAAGAGGAAAACCAAGGTCCTCAAATTCAAAGCGGAGAACATCAATCCAATCACACTTGATGGCGAAACTCTGGTAGATGTAGAATCCTTCACATACCTGGGAAGCATCATCGATGAAGAAGGAGGTTCAGATGCAGGCGTAAATGCGAGGATTGACAAAGCAAGGATCGCATTCCTACAATTGAAGAACATATGGAATTCAAAACAACTTTCAACCAATATCAAAGTGAGAATCTTCAATACGAACATCAAGGCAGTTCTACTGTATGGAGCTGAAACTTGCAGAACTACAACAACCACAATCAAGAAAGTACAAGTATTTATAAATAGCTGTCTACGCAAGATACTCAACATCCATTGGCCGGATACCATCAGCAACAGCCTTCTGTGGGAGACAACAAACCAACTTCCAGCTGAAGAAGAAATTAGGAAGTTTTGTTCTCTAAGCCGGATGGTTTGGTCATGGATCTTTCATCGTTCTTCTGAACGACATCATCCACAGCACAAACTTCGAACACTTTACCTCTATCTGAAGTTTGTGCTATGGATGATGTCGTTCAGAAGAACGACAAAAGCTCCATGACCAAACCATTCAGCTCAGAGAACAAAACTTTATCAAAAAAAAGACATAATGAGACGTTAAAACAAAATGAAAAACAGATAACAGTAACAAGTAGTCTAGATATTCAAACAAGCCGCTTTATTGATTATCATTATCATCAGTAATCATCTATTTATTCCTAGACAATGATGCTTTTCTATTGGAGTGCATTTCTTTATGATCCCAAAATGATTTATGAAATTGATGAATTAAAAAATATGCCATTATGGTATAATCATTTATGTGTAAGTCTTATTATTATTATTATGAATTGTTTCTTGTTTTAAGTTTCTTTGATTGATCAGTAGTATTAAACGTATGTAAATCATTTTTATTACTATAACACTATTGTAGTCAAATCAAAATGATAATAAGAATGTAATAGTTGTAATTATCAATATGTGATTGTAGAGAGTATTAAGTTTTTGATTGAGATCATGAATCGATCAGTGTTAGATCACTATTGAAAACTTAGAAGCTAATCTATGTCAGTTATAGACAGGTATCTATCTCAGAAAATGGTAGATGATTGCTCAATTTTAATGGATTGGTTGAAGTTAGACATTAACACTGTTCAATGCCAGCCAGGGTGAGTGACCCAAAATCCTGGGTTTGAATCCCGCGAGATGGGTGTTCACTACTGAAAAGTTCCATACTAGGATGAAACGGATGTTCAGTGCTTCAAGGTTTTTAATAGTGGTCTAATATCAAACGATTAATGATCTCAATGATCTTAAAATGTAACAGTTGTAGTTATTTTAAATGTTTCTAACATGCAATTAAAGTGTTTCACCATGGAGTTTTGAATGATTTCCAATTTACTTGATCAATATGTTTTGTTGAAAATTTCATTTAAACCTTTAAGACTTCATTGAATCCATGGGTGAGATTATAATTCGTAGACGACCTTTGAGTGATGTTAAACTAACCTTGAAGGTGTCTACCTGACAACTAAGACCAAATGAGGGTTGTAAATTAGTGTGAGGAATTAGAATTATGGGCGAGACTCTAATTTATGGACGAGCCAATGAGAGGCGTTTAAGAGATTTCAAGGTTACGACGCCAACTTCAGTACTTAATGCTAACGTACGATCGGTTTACAGTGAATTTTGTACAAAACGTGATAATTGAGCGGCTATAACAAATAAAACGGCGAAACTATAAATTGTGGACGAATCAGTCAGGTATAAGATAATAGATCTCGGATTTTAACGCGAAAGCCTTTCATCCATTTGGCTAAATAAATTTCTGGCATTATAGCTGATGTCAGTTCATGATGAAAACCCCATATGTAATTGCTAAGGCAAATTATGACAATTATTGAGAACTGGATAATAAAAGCACCAGTAACACTGGCTGCAGCCAGATACCACAATATATACGGATGTTTGGAGAGCGTACAGACTCTTACATAGGCTTGTTTATGTGCATTGTGTCGTTATCCACAAGTAGCATTTTGTGCACTCAACAACCGGAGTGCACACAAACAATATTGATGCTATGTGGTCGAGGCTGAAAGAGTTTTTGTGACTTTATCATGGCTCCAGGGGCCGACTATTCTGTAGCCGTGTGGATGATTTTCTCTATCGCATGCATTACGATTTTAGAACCTCTGAACCTCTATCTAACCTTGACAAATTTTTGAACCACGTATAAGAATTGTATCCACTTTATTTCCTTGGTTTTGTATAACATATGTATACTCTATGCTGACTGTTTGCTGATTGACTAATATTTCTCAAGGTCACTTAAGATTCGTTCAAAGGTTATCCATAAATTAGAGTCTCGACGAATGATGTTTTACAGTTGATCGTTAGGGATACGAATTAGAATTAGAGTTTTCATCACGAACTGACGTCAGCTAAAATGATAAAACTCTATTTAGTACAATACAGCACTTCTCCAATGATGAACCAAAATTTAGCCAAAAAATGATGCTCAGTACAACACCTATTCACTAATAAAACTCTTGAGAATAAACATAACTGTTAAATTCACTTGGTATTATTTGGCTTGTACCTTCGCATTGAGGTTTAAGACTGTAATTGATCAGTCTGTTATCGGCATATGTGCATACTGTGCGTATGGCTCGATATTGCAAGTGACTATCAGGACTCAGTAGCTAAGTGGATAACGCGATGTCGTTTGAAGCGAATAGTACTGGGTTTGAGTCCCAGAGTGAACATCAACTCACGCAGGTACATCCATCTGACGAGTCCCAAATAGGACGAAACGCGCGTCCTGGATTCCACTGTTAATCACTATCCATCATTGCTTACAAAAATCACTGTTAAAGTTTCACTAGGATTTTAAACTGACTTTATGTCTACTTTTCCAGGTTGAATATTATGACATTTGGAACTAAACAAACTATGAATGAGTTATTAAATTACCCAATGAAACTGGATACGTAATGTACTATGTGGTTGTATAATAGAATACAGAGGTTTTCATAAACTATTTGTCAGTTTCTAGCTTCGTCCTACTATGGGATTACTCATCAGTGCGCATCTAAGATCATTCATGTAGGAATTGAACTCACGACATTCGGTCAGTCATGATTAACCTCTAGACAACTAAGCCGACCAGTATCCAAAGGTGTTATTGTATAATTTTAACCAATCCACGTAATTGCAACACTTTCCACCATTATTTTCAGTGAGTAACTGGATGAACTCCACTCATCACAGCTTCTCACTAGAACTTCAAGAAATATATCTTGATGCCACAATTTTTTACTGATGATTTCTAATTTCCTGAAAGTTTACTTCTAACTTAAATGAGTTACTTTACTGTAAATAGTATTACTCATTAACCACATATGGGTTGAAAAATAAACAAACAATGAATGATAACTTAATATAGTTCTTGGCATATTAAAATGTTACATCAATACTCTTCTCCTATATGGTTAAGTTCTTTTCAGTATTTCATCAGTTAGCAATAACCAACATTAAGTTGTTTATTATGTGGTGCCGATCGATAGTTATTGAACGCAGTGATTGTATACTATTAGTAGAAAAGGAAACTCTGACGATAATGCATCATGCAAATGTGTCTAATTCACAGGGTTTCCTACCCACTATAAAACCACAAAACTTAGTTTTGAGTTACTCAAATTTATGGTCATATTGCAAGTTGATTAATAGAATTGAATGATTATGAATGAACATGTAAAACAGTATGTACAGTTAGTCATTGGACAACAAGTGAGCTTCTGTTATACTCCAGCCTTGAAGAAAATGCTCCATATACACAATGAGTTGTATTGATGTTATCCAAACAAGTACAAAATGCACTTTTAGGATGGGGATCTCATGGCGGCCTATGCTCCATTAGGAGTAACAGGTGTAAGTAAAGTAAGTAAGTAACTAAGTACAGTTAGTCACTACTATCATAAATGTCTATTTTCATAAGATATTACATTTCAACTATCATTATTTTCCTTATTCTTTTGTATTACATAATAAATTAAAGCATTTAATTCCACCAGTTGCTTTGGTACTCGATGCTTACTTATGTCATCCGAAAATAGTCTCATTCTACAATGCATTAAAGATTGAATGTTTCATTGGAATCATTTATAATATCTTGTAAGTTCAATATGTTTGTGTTTTTAGTTTAACAGAAATGATTTTTTAAAAACTCTCTTCTATACTCGAAGGTTGCCTGGAACTGCTCTGGGGCTAACACTAGTCCAAACCCCGGATAAAGGAGGAAAGTTGGGCATGGGGTTAGTGACCCTATTCCGTAGAAAACTAACTCACTAAACATTCGCTAACCGGAAAGCATAATAATTATGATTATATAATTGATTTAATGCTGTGAATAGTTCCACTGTATACGATCTATCCAATAAACACTTGAACTGAATTTCAAAGGATTACAGTTACAAATAGATTTAAACTTCACTCTATTGCACAAGCTAATGGCTATCATGACTCGATAGTTAAGTGGATAATGTAATATCTTTTGAAGAGGAGAGTAATGGGTTCGCACTCTGGAATGAATATGAACTCTAGGATACAGGTACATCCAGTTAGTAAGTCCCAAATAGGAAGAAACGCGTGTCCTGGATTTTACTGATAGCCACCATCCATCTTTGTGTCTAGTTACGAATAACACTGAATAAAGCAACAATTGCGCCGTAATCAAAAACCTAACGCATCAAGATATTATAACTTTAGTATATTGTTTGTATTCAGTTATCAATTCATGAAATTTGTGGTTCCTATATACGCGACTATGAGGTTGCATATTTGTCAATTGTCAATTGACAAATATCAGAAATCCAATCTTTTAGACTTCAATTCATTATAAGCAAAGATAGTTGGCAGTGGAATCCAGAACACGCACCACTCCGTCCTATTTGAAACTCGTCAACCGAATGTACCTGCATCTCAGACTTGATGTTCACTCTCAGAATCGAGCCCAGTATCGTTCGCTTCAAACGCCATTGCGTTATCCACTTAGCTACTGAACCATAGTAGCCACCTGCTTGTGCAATAGGACGAAGTTTAAATTCATTTAGTATTGTTCACTTGAATCTTCCCATTGATGTGTAGTACTGCAATTGATCAGTCGCTTTTTGGTTTATGTGTATCCTGTATTGCCGCGATAGAACGTTAAGTGACAGACATTGAAAGCAAAGATGGATAGTGGCTAGTAGTAGAATCCAGGACGCGCGTTTCGTCCTATTAGGTACTGGTCAGCTGGATATACCTGCATCACAGAGCTAATGTTCACTCTAAGACTCCAACTCAGTACCGTTAGCATTATAATATTTGTGAATAAGAGACTGGTCAATCACAGTCCTAAACATCAATAGGAAGATTCAAAGAATCAATACTAAGTGAATACCTTATATAATAATTATATCAGCCACAAAACCAATGAATACCACTAAGCACTGAGATAGTGGAGAAAATTTGTAGCTCAGGTGGGTGATTTTGATGGATTTTTGTTCTCTGAGCTGAATGGTTTGGTCGTGGAGCTTTCATCGTTCTTCTGAACGACATCATCCGTAGCACAAACTTCAGATCGAAGTGAAGTGTTCGAAGTTTGTGATGACGATGATGTCATTCAGAAGAACGATGATAACTCCCCGACCGAACCATCCAGCTCAAAGAACCAAACTCCTTCAGAACCATGAAACATTAGACAAATGTTCATCTAAATTAAAAACTCTTGAATAGTACACCATAATAGAGTATATCAATGATTGAACCTATAACTTTTATATTCTCATAGAATAAATGTAATATGATACATATTTATCATTTAATTTCATTATCAATGCATATCTTACCATTAACCTGAATAAACTTTACTAATCATAACTCTATATTATTCAATTAAACTATGAAAAGTAACAAAAAGGAACAACTCACCCCTTCCCCCCTCCTTTAAAAAAAGAAAAACAAAAAGAAAAATCAAAGAGTATACAATTTATAAAAGAATAAATATTGAATGACAAAGACAGAATTCAAAGGGTTCAGTTCACTTTAATCTTCTTCTTCTTTCTTTTTGTAATCATACTCATATTTCAAAGAGATACTTTAATAAACTACCATAGCAACGAAAATGATCTAATAAACTTATGGTGTATAAGGATGATGATGATGATATTAGAAACTTCTCTTATTTCATGGATTCAATTATTTATCATTATAATACATTATGAATGAATTTATCTAATAAGGTCATTAGTTTAATAGCCATTATGTTATATTGATGCTATGAGAAAAACTGAATAGTTGAAATTATGAGTCATTTAAAGGTAGAACATCAAAGAAAACCTAGAAGAACTGGATAGCTGTTTCATCTTATTGTGGGATTCCTCAACAATACGCATTCATGATCATGGTTTCACCAGATTTGTACTGAGGATCTATCAGTCTCATGCGCGAATGTTTAACCTGTAGACCAATAAGCCGGCCGGTATACAACGGTGTTAATGTCTAACTTCAACTAATGTAAGAAATTGAGCAACACATCCATGTCCTAGGTTCGAATGCGAACTGCTGAAGAGTACCATAATAGGATGAAACGGCTGTCCAGTGCTTTCAGGTTTTCCATGATGGTCTAGATTCAACTGACCCATGATGTCAACTATTAAAATTACTAATAATATTCACAAAAGCCTTTCTGATACTAAAAATTGAATACACTAAATATCTAAGTTAAATGGATAATAATAATAATATATTGTATATAGAATTTAAACTGTTCTGTTTTTCGTTACTAAAAGAGATCAGCTCTCCCTCTCAAAATATTGCGGTAAAAGTGTTATTTATGAAATTGAAAGGATGAAAAAATGACTGTTTGTTTAGTGGATATGCAGGATTTAGCTAGTCGAGTTGAAAAACCCTGATTCCAAACCAATGGTAAATATGAGCTCTATGATCATAAGGAAACAAATTACTTATGAACCTATTGTTGGTCATCAACTACCATGGGTATGCATCTTCTAACGTGGCTCCACTGTCTTATGCATTTAGAATCTAGGTCAAAGGCTCTGCGCTTCAGTTTATGTACCTAGGTAGCCACAAATTATTTGACTTGTGTGGCTCATATGTATTTTGTGCCTTCTTCTACCAAACAAGAAGATGTTGGTGATGATGATGATGATGATGATGATGATGATGATGATGATGATGATGATGATGATGATGATGATGATGATGATGATGATGATGATGATGATGATGATGATGATGATGATGATGATGATGATGATGATGATGATGATGATGATGATGATGATGATGATGATGATGATGATGATGATGATGATGATGATGATGATGATGATGATGATGATGATGATGATGATGATGATGATGATGATGATGATGATGATGATGATGATGATGATGATGATGATGATGATGATGATGATGATGATGATGATGATGATGATGATGATGATGATGATGATGATGATGATGATGATGATGATGATGATGATGATGATGATGATGATGATGATGATGATGATGATGATGATGATGATGATGATGATGATGATGATGATGATGATGATGATGATGATGATGATGATGATGATGATGATGATGATGATGATGATGATGATGATGATGATGATGATGATGATGATGATGATGATGATGATGATGATGATGATGATGATGATGATGATGATGATGATGATGATGATGATGATGATGATGATGATGATGATGATGATGATGATGATGATGATGATGATGATGATGATGATGATGATGATGATGATGATGATGATGATGATGATGATGATGATGATGATGATGATGATGCTGATGATGATGATGATGATGATGATGATGATGATGATGATGATGATGATGATGATGATGATGATGATGATGATGATGATGATGATGATGATGATGATGATGATGATGATGATGATGATGATGATGATGATGATGATGATGATGATGATGATGATGATGATGATGATGATGATGATGATGATGATGATGATGATGATGATGATGATGATGATGATGATGATGATGATGATGATGATGATGATGATGATGATGATGATGATGATGATGATGATGATGATGATGATGATGATGATGATGATGATGATGATGATGATGATGATGATGATGATGATGATGATGATGATGATGATGATGATGATGATGATGATGATGATGATGATGATGATGATGATGATGATGATGATGATGATGATGATGATGATGATGATGATGATGATGATGATGATGATGATGATGATGATGATGATGATGATGATGATGATGATGATGATGATGATGATGATGATGATGATGATGATGATGATGATGATGATGATGATGATGATGATGATGATGATGATGATGATGATGATGATGATGATGATGATGATGATGATGATGATGATGATGATGATGATGATGATGATGATGATGATGATGATGATGATGATGATGATGATGATGATGATGATGATGATGATGATGATGATGATGATGATGATGATGATGATGATGATGATGATGATGATGATGATGATGATGATGATGATGATGATGATGATGATGATGATGATGATGATGATGATGATGATGATGATGATGATGATGATGATGATGATGATGATGATGATGATGATGATGATGATGATGATGATGATGATGATGATGATGATGATGATGATGATGATGATGATGATGATGATGATGATGATGATGATGATGATGATGATGATGATGATGATGATGATGATGATGATGATGATGATGATGATGATGATGATGATGATGATGATGATGATGATGATGATGATGATGATGATGATGATGATGATGATGATGATGATGATGATGATGATGATGATGATGATGATGATGATGATGATGATGATGATGATGATGATGATGATTATGATGAAGTCGTTTAGCATACTTTATACAACATCACTAATATACAATCGTTCAAGTATTCAATACACAAATGTATTACATCATTCTATAATGAAATAGAATACACACAAACAACAAGTACATGAATGAATATGTTCTTTTGTCTATTGCTTTAAGTAAATATTCATTACATGGTATATTCCATTATAT